ATGAATGTATGTAATAAATCAAACACATAAACATAAGAAATTCAACAACTTTTTATTTCTTTTGGAAGTTTGGTTTTAGCGATTTTTCTGAGAAATATATATGATATTTTTTAATAATAATAGTGATATGTTTTTGTTTTGACGTGACTATTGATCAAAGGACAAAGCAAATGGTAACTGGTGGTTCGTGTTTCAAAGAATAGAAATTGGGTTTTGGCCGGCAAAAAAATTTAAACAAACCATTGCCAACAAACTCGAATGGGGAAGAGAAGTATATAGTGCAATTATGCCTAGTCCTCAGATGAGAAATGAATTTTTTTCCGGTTAAACACCCTCGTTACGATGCCTATATATCTAATATAACTACGGTCGACGAGAATTTTAAGATTGATGATCGGATAAAGAATACATAGGCATTCTCGGATAACACCCGTGGTTATAAATTTATAGATGATATACATTACAATTTAACGTCAAACATATGATACATTTTGGGGGTCCTCGGAATATTTAAAAGAGAGAAAGATATGTTTATGCATCTAAAATAAAATTATTCACCTTTCTTTTCTATCATTAGTTTGGTGTGTACACAGTGGCAGAGGCAGAAAAAATTTTACCGGGGGCATAATACAAATAATTTACATGTTAAAAAGGAAAACTAGCAAAAAAAATTCAATGAAAGTGGTGCTAGTGGGTTTTGAACCCGGGTTCATAGGGGGCAAGGAGAGCTTTTTGCCAAATGAGCTACATAAGTAACAATCTTCTTAAGGAAAAAAAAGAATTATTTAAAAGTTTATGGGGGGGGGCAGCTGCCCCCCCCCCCTCTCCTTCTCTACCTCCGCCACTGTGTGTATATGGATACAAAAATATATCCTCAAAATCTTCTACGAAAAGAATAATGGTAAAAAACGACTTCACAAGTCATAGTTGCCACTCTTTAAACTTAAAACTCGGTAAGTTTTTTAAAGAAGCATGGCCGATAGTGGGTAAAGACTTTGTTGTTGTTGTCCACTCTTTCTTTGACAAAGGGTTACTTCCTAAGGGTATTAACTCAACCATCTTTGACAAAGGGTTACTTTGTTGTTGCTGTCCACTCTTTCATTGACAAAAGGCTACTATATATAGTACATGTTTCAGTTCTCTACCATAGTAATCAAATATTTTTATTTAATTTTCTACCATAGAATATTAGTGATATATATTTTGGCAAGTTTGACTAATTTATTAGATATTTATTTAAATCTCTACCATAAAAATATTACTAATAAATTTTTATATTGACTTTTTTGTAGTATTTTTATAGAATTGTCAAGTTGTATATATATATAAGTTTATCTTTACTCTTTGATTGTCACCCTTATTCTCTAAGAATAAAAATGAAATTAAGTTGTCTAAATATGTTGTTATTATATTGTATTGTGTGTTTCTACAAGATGGCAAGTCTCAATAATTGTTTGGTGGATGCAAAAACATTGCAAAGTTTCAACAATTTTGAAACTGAAGAGCAACTTACAATCATCAATGTTTGTTTAATTTCATCTCAACATTATTAAGAGCTTATCTACTCACCTTGATTATTACTATATACATATATAAATGCACATTCTAACACTATGACACATGAATTTTTACAAAATAATTTTATAATTTATGTTGTTTATGGATGATAGACTACATATGGCGATACATATGCATGTGTGGATTTTTACAAACAACCAGCAATTGACCATCCGTCAATGAAAAATTACTCAATCCGTTACAAAGTATGTATTATATTTAATATACTTGAGTTATATCATAATTCCAGTAATTAATACAAATTTTTTTTTGAAATGTAGATGCGTCTGACATCATCCCTAAGAAACTCAAAAATAAATAATAAAAAGTTTGGTTACTTGTGGGAAAATGGTATAGGTTGTCTCATTGGTACTATACCTATAAAGAGAGCCACCAAAAATGAATTAGTAAAATTAGATTTGTTCTCTGAAACATATAGGCCTCAAGGTTCTTGGAACTTTAATGATATTCAATCCAAAGTTCATAGTGACCAACATCATGTAAGTAGCATATTTTTTTTTTCTATCCAAGAAAACATATAAGTAGTTTTATATATATTATTCTATCAAACACATAAAACAAATATTGATAATGAATGGTGATGATGATTAGTTTGCGGTGTCTCGTACCAAAGAAGAACAAGGGAAATCCTACACCGGAGCATCAATGATGCTTTCTGTAAATGATCCCAGGGTTAAACTTCCACAATTCAGTTCGAGTCGTATGCATGTTCAGATTGGAGATGATTTTATTCAAATGGGTTGGACTGTAAGTTTGT